CATGCATCTGAGAATAGGACCACAGCAACAAATGGCACTGCTTTATCATCTATACCTTTGCAAAGAGAATTTAAATTATGGTACGTTAGTGACTACAGAATAGTTTTAATGTAAATGTGAAAGGAACCTTTCCTGTTGGCTACTCAAATCAAGCTGTTAATTTTTTTTTTTTTTTTACTTGTTGCCTCCACAAACAGGTACTTTTCTTAAGCAGACCAGGTTTTTCACACCAGAACAGGCTGCTTCATTACAAAGTGGCTGCCTTCCCATGAGTCCCTAATGTGTGATCAGATAAAGGAAGGTAACATCAAGTTCCCATGCTTGAAATGACTCTGAAGGCTATGAACTCTGAGGATCTGAGTGCAAGAGCCAGATAGAAGAGACCCTAAGTTCAAACAAAGCAAAACAAAACATTTTTAAAATGAGGAAGGGGAGAATCATACTAGTGGTTTTTTTGTTTTTGGGTTTTTTTGCTTTTCAAGACAATGAAATGAATGAGTGAACAGAAACCTTAGGAGAGAGTTTGCTCAAAACTAAATGTTGAGGAAAAGGATGATCACAGGCTCGCAGGAAATCAGAGCTTTCCTGGCAACTGAAGGCTCATGCTTAAACCGCTCACCACTTGAGTTCGTCCCACAGCAGGGAATTGAGAAACGTCTCTGAACATTGCAAAGCTTGTGTTGGAACTGTGCAGCTGATAACCTTCGTTTAGTGAAACAAACAAGAGTAGATTTTAAGAAAGAAAAAGAATTCTCACAACTGAACTGGCAGGGTATGAGAAAAGGGGGACATGAGGCAAACAAATCTCAATGACAAAACACCGCCCTGCAACGCCGAGCGCAAGTGGAGCACGATTTGCTTCTTGAATAGACCACAAATACAGTTCAGACGGTTTGAATCCTCAAACTAAGAGATGATCGATAGATTCACCTCAGACATGAGTAGAGTCTGGATAAAGGGATGGAATTCGAGTTACAGAACACTGTGTTTTCATGAGTGCTTATGTAGGAACGGCAATGGTAACATGTTAACTGTGATTTACACGAATACTTGGCATTCCAGAGCTAGTTTAGTTATTCTGAATGACCAAAGCCCTCCCAAATAAACCACCTGTGGTTTGTCAGTTATTCTGTTGCAAATGCAGGCTACCTGGAGCAGTCTTTACATTTGAGATCACATTGTTTAAAAAAAATTTTTTTTATGTCGTCCAGTACACTTTAGACAGATGAGTCAAGTTCCCACGTGAGTTGGAATATACTTCATGTAAGACTGACTTTAATTTCAGCACTTTCGTAGAAGGGAGTGTCCCAGATCTTTAACTGTTCAATGTTGTATTCACTTCACAGTGTATCAAGCACCAGCGTTGCCATGAATTGGTTTCAAATAACCCTTTATATATAATTTTATATTTATATATATATATA